ACTCATTCTTCTTTATAGTGATTCTCTTCTGCAGTTTCAGCATGTAATATTCTTGGTCTTGTGTGTTACAAGTTTCTTATAAAAGGGAAAATCAGAGAGGATCTGATCTTCTAATTCTCAACACTTCTGTAATATTTATAAATTTGGATTTAAATGGTTTCAATGATATTTTTAATCGTCAATAAATTAGCCAGATATTTTTTACGAGCTTGATGTGTGGTGATTTTGATTAGAATGTTAACTTATTTTATAAATGTATATTTATAGTGTATCGTAATAAGTTATCATAAAACGCTTGTATATATGTTGAAATATTCATTTAATAAAAAAGTAATCTTCACATATTTATTTTTCTATCTCACATTTATACATGTACTAATTAGGTGTCACAGGGCTATTCCCCATAACCTCTGGAGCATACATGTCAACAAATTCATTTAACACGTGGTTAAGTCTTTGATTTTGAGTATAAGAAGACTTCCTGTGTGTAAAATAAAAAGGGAAATAAGTATTAACTGATTCAAGGGTTGTAAAAACCTGTTTCACTCTGCTAAATTGACACGGCCCAGGAAAGACTGAATGACTTAGTCATCAATGCCTTAACCTCTCACTGCAGCAAATAAGAATAAAGTATAGGCAGTATAATGTATACATGCATATATAAATTCATTGGCAACCTTAAAATTTAAAATACATATAATCGAGTTCACTATCTAAACGTATTAAGAATGGCAACATATTTAACTGATAAGAATGTACATAAAAACTATTCAAAATTAATAGGTGATATCATCTTTTAGAATTGAATAGGTGATATCACATATTTGAATAGGTTATATAACGTATTTGAATTGGTGATATTACCCTTTCATTTCGTATAGGCGATATCACTTATTTTAAGAAGTGATATCATTACCTATACAAAATGAATAGGTAATATTCTAATCACCTATTTGCATTTTTTACCATATTAAATTTAAAAAGGTCCCTTCTTGAAGACAATCTTGCTTCAATTCGAAATAAAGGATGAAATATTTAAACAAATCTTTCGAAGACCAACTCTATTTTCTTAGCATTGACTAAAAATTATGATATTGATTCCGTTACTCTTAAACAAACTTTTTTTTAAAAAGATAATTTGTTAAACTTAATTTGGGCCCCATTCATTATTATTTCGGCGTTGATTAATTAAATAATCTGAAGATTTGCTATAAGATCTTTTGGCACAAAGAGGGGGGACCGCACGTATGTTATATGGGTGAATTAAAAAAAAAGACCAAAGTCACATTTATCAACCCACACTAAAAATACAAGCAAAGAAAATAGATTTCTATGTCTCAGCATATGTCTTTAGATAGTGTCTAAATACCTGCCAAATATCTCGTTGATATCTCAATTAACAAAAATGTTATGCCCAAAAATGATGCTAAAATTGTCAGGAGTGCAACACCTTTTTGTGACATTTTGAAATTTCAATATTTTTTGGAGATCTGTGAAATAAATACTAATGTTTTCTGTTGAAAATAAAGACTTTCCTGATAGTGTTCAAAGTATTGAGCTTTAAATGTGGACTGTAGTAACTTTTGTTTAATCAAGTTGTGGTCATGGCTGATGTTTAAAAAAATGTTATACCATGACAGGAGTGCAACAGAAAAAATGTAGTGTTGCCAAAATATCATCAATTGTAAAATTCTGAAAGAAAATTAAGATAAAAAAGAATTTTCGAAGTGTAAAACAAAAACTGATATACATTTTAAAACTTAAAAATGTTATATAAATCACAAGCAGCATTAATGAGAGTCAAGTATATGTGCATACCCAATAATGTCAGGAGTGCAACATTTGATGTTTTGCTCCCAAGCATGAAAAAACTATTACATTATATGATTTTCTGACTTTTATTTTGGAAAATAAAGACACAAAGAACATTTTTACCAAATAGATTTATCAATTACAGGATCTGTCTGTGCTTCAGATCTATATTTCTATGGTCAGGAGTGCAACACATTTTTTTAAAGATTCAAGTTGTGTGACGAAAACACTTCTATTCATGCTTAGAAGTATTCATTAATTAATAATGATCTTTTTCTATCAATACTAAATTATTGCCAGTTTTATTAATAAAATCCTTACTTTTTTTAATTTTATCAATTCAGATGTGTTTTTATCTTTTTGTGATTTTTTAAATGAATGTTAAAAAATAAACACACTAAAAAATTATCATCAAATTCCAGTAATTCCTCCTCCACTTTACTGAAACAACAGAACAAGTTCTTATGTAATTTTCACTTCACAATTCTACTTTAAAGGCCCAAATGCTTTTGGGCAGGAGTGCAACAAATATGTTAGAATTATAAATTATCCAATAAAAATAAAAATAAAGAAAAAAATGATGAGTAGAATTTTTCTAGTGGGTTATTGTGTTTGTCCTCTAAAGGAAAATACGCTATAAAATATATTTTATCTTCTAAATATACATTTAAACTAGTTTTTTGGCATAAATAGGGAATAATTCCAGATAAAATGCGAATTTTGAATACTTTCATCTGTTTTAATTATGAAGTATTGGACTATAAATATTGCACAATTTCATTACCACTTGATGTTGCCAACACTTTATGAATTTTTGTGTTCTATGGTTTTATTTTTAAATTTTACTGCAACCAGAAGTGTAACGGAACTGCTTTATGATTAACAATGCTTTTTAACTATCTTTACTAAAAAATAGTAGCCCGCGTGGCGCAGTGGTTGGAGTCGCAAAGTAAGGAGTTGATCCTTACGTCGCGGGTTCGAATCGTGGAGACCGGTCCTTCGGATGAGACCGTATAAACCGAGGTCCCGTGTCGCAGTAGGTGTTTACACGAAAAAGATCCCTCACTGCTTAATGGCCGTAAGTGCCGAGTATAGGACAAAATTTGCAGCTCTCCGCCAGCAAGTGGTGGCGTCTCCATTTGAGTGTAAAATTCTCGATAGGGACGTTAAACAATATACAAAACAAAACAAACTAAAAAATAAGTTGAAAAAAATGTTTAATACTATATGATGTTCAAAACACTATGTCTATCAACAAATTACAGAAACTTTACAGTCAATTCAGGGAATAGTTTTCTTCATTTCATATATATATTTAAATACAATTCATATATATTACATTTTGCAAATAATCATGTTTTAAGGTCTTCAAAATATAAAAAAAAACTTACCGTAAGCGATGAAAAATATCAAAACGACAAATTGATTTACAAAGTAAGAATGGGTTATTGTGTGTTATAATTTTTAAAACAATGTTAAATAAAATACATATCAGATGTCAGGAGTGCAACACAATAATGTAACATAGGGCACTACAAAATCTAGTATTTTTTGTAAGAGATCTTGTATGTAAAAATTCTTTTTTGGCTTAGATTTGAAGAATTGACTTGAACGGACAAAAAAGTGAATTTGGGGAATTTTATTGCTACATATTTTTTTCATATTAAAACTCTTCAAACCAGAATTGAAAAAATAATGTAAAATAACAACCAAAAAGCCATTTTTTGTCACATATACAAGAGAAGATACTCAAATAGGTGCTAACACTTATTTGAAATCAAATAGGTGATATCATCTATTCGAGTAGGTGATATCACTCTTCGTCGAATAAGTGATGTCATTAATTAAAATCAAATAGGTGATATCATCTTTTCCGAAAGTTGATGTAACCAATTCAAAAGCTGAATAGATGATATCACTAATATGAATACGTGAGATCACCTGTTCGAATAGGTGATATCACAAATTAGATAGGTGAAATCACCTTTTTTGAATAGGTGATATTTAATGGCAGTAAATACCAAAACACCCTCTCATACGTCTGCTGCAATACTGTAAACCAATATTATTTGCAATATCATTTATTCGCGATTCGATAGCTTTAAATCCATCCGCAACAAATTATTTTCGCGACTGAAGAAACATTTTACATAGATATTTAATACGTAAATTATTGATTTACAGCACAAAATATTTGCAAGTAAAAGAAGGTTCCGAATTTTCCGGATTTTTCTCCTACGCAAATAAAAAGTTACTTTACAGTATATACTTTTACAGATTTGCCGGGAAATGCTAATTATTTAGAGATAAAACTCATTTAAGGGTCAGGACAGTACAAAGGGATATTTCACAAACGAGAAAGTGTCTTTTAAAGTTATGTTTACTTTTAAAAATTGAAGAAAAGATAAAGAAAATTTAAAAGAATACACACTGTAATGGTTTCTGAGCAGCGTGAAGCTTAATTGGTCATTAAAATTGTTTTATTATACTCATCTTAATTATTGCAGGCTAGGTCGAAACATTTCAAACAATCACTTAAAGATTCTTTTTATATATCTTATTTTAAATGTTGTGCTTCACTGAACAGTACGTTTCGATATTGCAGGTAAATTTCAACTTGATAACCACTTTAAACAATAGAATCTTTCATATATGCCTTAAATTAATGTTCATATAATAATTCCTTTACCGTCGGCTAAAACATTATTGTTGCACTCAACATTTTAATGAATTTCAAGCACGTCATTCTCTCTTTCTCTCTCTCTCTCTCTCTCTCCAATCACGTCATCCTTTAATATCTCTCTCTCTCTCTCTCTCTCTCTCTCTCTCTCTCTCTCTCTCTCTCTCACACACACACACACACAAATAAAAAAATATAGCATATATATATATATGATAATATAAAAAAGAAAAGCAAAACAAAAAAGGGCACATTGAAGAAAAAATAAGCGTGAGATATTTATTATTTCACCAGTCAAAAGATAAAATATATGAGTAAGAATTGATCTGAACAAGAAGGGTTTTCCTTGATTTATTTTACATATTCTCCTTAAAAGTTCAAATTAAAAAATCTAATTAGTCTTCATCAATCAAAATGCACAATAACAGCATTTATCAAATTTCTTAAGTCGATGTCAAAGGCACATCCATAAAATGCACGTGGAGCATATTTTCTTTTCAAAAAGAACATGGTGTTCAATGTATTTCTTTGCTTGTTGGGATGTTTGACGGTATATGCAGGAAGAATTAAGCTAGGGGGTGTTGTTCAAGGTAAGATGTACATTTTAAGAATAAATAAGAAATCACAGCTATTAAGCACTTTAAAGTTATTGTGCAGGAAAACTTCATTCAGTCTTAAAATGCTATAAATACAATATACCATGTTAAATACATGCATTACTTTAATCTCGTGATTCACGATACCAATCCACAAAACTTTAGATATAGCACCATGAATTAAGAGGATTCCTTTGTAATTTCCATTAGAAATACCGTATAACGGGTATTTTCTGCGGTTGGAAATTTTTGCGATTTAACCCCTTAAAGGTTGCAAATTAATTTCTGCGTTTTCAATTTCTGCGGTTGCACTATACCGCAAAAATTTATTTACGGGGTATGATCATGCACTAAACTTTATGAATTATCAGAACGCTATTATGTTTACGTTTTATAAATTCATTAAGACATATTGATCAAAGGTGCATGAAAACTTATTAAGCTATTATGCTTAATTAAACTACTATCTTTTAGTTAGTTTTTGTAAAAATATTTCGAGTACCAATTGAAATGAATTAATGCAGTGTCATTCCACCCAAACAACAATACAAATCTTTATTCTACAGACGTTTTATGCGATCTATTAAAATACTAGTAGTTAAATATATGTAGATAATGATAATAAATGCATCCGTGCCATATTCTAAAATACATTTCTAGTTAACAGCCATCAAAATTAATTTGGTGTTTATATTTTAAGCTAAAACAAACAGTTGCATAATGAAGTACCCAAAAGTTGACGGTTAACAATCACAGGTGTCATGTGTATTGAGGCGTAACTAATCCTATCAGTCTTATGCATTAGGTGAAACTCACGAGACAATCGAGCCACATTGTGTATATACAAGCAGTAATTATTGTCTCAATATAAAACACATGTTTAAAAAAGAAAAACTACTATGTGTTGTTTGCAGCTATCGGTGTTTGGACTAATAATTGCGATATAGGTACAAGTAAAGATGTTTTTGTATCAACTTATTTAATTGATATTATTTACAGCTAGGAAGGGATTGATTCAATATGTTTTGGACAAATCCTGACATCTAAAATCTTCGAAATTCGATGACACCCGAATTTTTTCGATAACGAGGATGTGGCCACTCTTGAGTCTGCGGACGCATCGATTTTAAAAACCTTCCTTTATGACAAAGTAACCAAATAATTTTGCGGTGTCCAGTACGCAGGTTCTTACGTTAATGAGAACCCTGCCAGACATACGCACCACTTATCATAATTGCAAGTACAAAATACCTGAATGAATATTGAAAAAATATTTTGCGATTGTAATTTTTGCGGATTTGTCCTATCCGCAAAATTCCGCAAAAATTGGACAACGGCAGAAAATACCCGTTATACGATATTCATGTACACATCATTTTAAGAAAAACGATTTTTGCCTTACATAGTATTGATGCATATATTTAGTTTGTGTTTGTATATATACTTAATCAGGTATTGCATGCAGTAGACTTATATTATCGAATAGGGGACTGATTACTGTCAATAACGAGCATTAAAGATGTGTGCTTTTATTAGCTATTCTTACTTTGTTTGCCTATTGACTCTTTCACTTGCTGAGACTTAATTGTAGAAAACACAGAACCCATTTCTATTCAACTTTCAAATATAAACTGTTCGGGAGACGGAGCACTTGTGTTTCGAGGCGGCGATCCAACCTCTTTTTTCGGTTCCTTATGTCTTCCTCCACCAGGAACTGTTAAACAATGTGCCGTTATAAGTAAGTCCAAATAAAATCTTATATGAAGGGGAAAAAATGGAGCAAACACTGCTTTACATGAAGATAAACGATTTTGAGCATAGTCTTAGAAACAACTTTTAATATAAATTTTTAAGAACAACTTCATACTTAAAATTACAAATTTTAATATATTTCTCAGAAAATTGTATAGCATTTGCAAGTAACCGGACATTTACAGAGTAATATCAATTTGCACTGTAATTGCCGGGGGACTACTTTTGTGATTGTAACGTAACGATACATTTTCTTCTTTATCTGACGTCACATGCATACACATACCCGTTATACAAACAATTAAAGAGGCACGCACCTGAAAGCATTGTAATGGCAGTTTTGTCATGAAATATATTTATAATATCTAATACGATATATAATTTAAATAGTAATGAACACTAAAAGCTTTAAAAAACGTTACATGACTAAATTCTGTTTCTAAAATTTAGCGAAGCAGTAATAACATTTTTTTTAAATGTAACAATATTATAGTTATATCTTCTTTTTTATATATTGAACACAAAAACATAAAGTCACAACTCTTTTTTTCTTCAATTTATTCAGGTTATAAATAAAATATAAAGAAAACATTGTATTTTTTCAAAAAGATTTATGAAGGTAAGAATTGTGTATTTAAAAAAAACATTCAATGTCTTAATTTCAACTTCCAGAAATAAAATTTAAGTCACTACTATTCGTCTGATGAAAAAATAGTTGTGCAAAACAAGGTACTTAAATTAGAAGATGTTTAAAAGACACTCCAAGATAAACATTACCATTTTTTTTATGTATTTATTGTTTGAAATCCTCCCGCAAGAAAAAAAATCTTCCCAAGAAATCCTCATTTAAAATGCTTTGTACATTTTGTTTTTAAATGTTATTTTAGGTTTTATGTGTACAATAGTTTATGAATTGAAAGATAAATATAAAACATACATTTTGAAAGATATTAATTCTGTAACTTTGGAAACCAGGTGCTTAAGAGCTTATTTCCTTGCTGATGTTGTAAGGATTTTTATGGAAAAAAAACCCGGAAGAGATTCTATTGATATGAATTGAAAAAAAATTATAGGCATTAAAATATGAAATAAAAATGATATTGAGTGGAAAAATTCCCGCTGTCGTTCCGTTTTACTGCGCAATACCTTGGCGGAAATATTTGTGATATTCAGATAAAAATTAAGTAAATCTTTCTATTTTTTAGACGTTGGTGCGTTAGAAGCGTTTGTGTGCCCGCAGAAAAGCTACTTCAATGGAATCAATTCTGACGGGGGACAAAGACGGATCATTTGCTGTTCTGGTTTGTAGCTGCTAGAAACTTTCTATTAATTGATGTAGATAATTGTATCTGTAATGTTATGAAAAGGTTTAATGCGATAGAAAATTGCATATCTTTTTTGTGAACGTGTTCGGTGCATCTTTTAATGCCCTTGTATTCGAAAATGCGGAGAATATAGCTTTGCTCTGTTCGTCCGTCCGTCTGTCCTTCTATCTGTTTAGCTGTTTTTCTGTTGTCCGCAAAAAACTTTTACCTTGCCCATAACATTTGACTGGATGGACCTATGGCTTTTATATTTTACAGAAACGGATCCTTTGATGTTCTGGTTCGTAGCTGCTAGACATTTCCTATTTCCAGGCCGTAATGAAAGATTCGGGGGCGTTTAGCTTTGCTCTGTCCGTCCGTCCGTCTGACTGTCTGTCTCTCCGTTTGTCTGTTTATCTGTTTTTCTGTGTGTCCGCAAATCCTTTTACCTTGCCCATATCTTTGGATTTTAGGGTTTGACCCACTTTTGCAAAATTTTACCAAACTTTAACCTTAGCTATAACTTATGAACGTTTGGTATTAGTGCTTTTATATATTCATATGTGTATTCCCTGTGTCAAAACCTTCCCTTAGGTACCAACATTTTTTACTTTGACCTTTGAGTTTGACCTTTATTTGAAAAACTTGAACCTTGGCCATAACTTTTAAACGGCGAGGGCTAATTCACACGTGTATTCCTTCTGACTTGTACATCCCTTATATATAAAAAAAATTGACCCTATGACCTTGATCTTGGAATTTGACCTTCTTTTTAAAAACTTTAAACTAGGCCATAACTTTTGAACGGTTGGTTCCATGACTTTCATATGTCACATGTGTGTTTCTTATGACAAGACCTTCCCTTGGATACCAACAGTTTTGATTTTTTATCCTTAATCTTGGCGTTTGACTTTCTTTTGAAAATTTAACCTTGGTCATAACTTTCATGGTTGGTACGAGTGACTTCATATTTCACATTTGTATTCCTTGTGACAAGACCTTCCCTTTGACACCAATTATTTTTACCCTTGACATTGGAATTTGACTTACTTTTGAAAACAATTGAACCTTGACCATAACTATTGAAGGGTTGGTGCTAGGTCTTTCATATATCAAAGATGTATTACTTTTGAGAAGGCTTTTCTTTGGGTACAAAAAGTTTTGATCTCTTGACCTTGGAGTTTTACTTGCATTTAAGAAACTTTAACCTTTGCCATAAGTTGTCATAATGGGGCATCACTAGTTCACAAACTAGTTCACAAATCTTGTTCTTAAGCAATGTTTTTTATGACGCTTATATATGCAAATATCATTGAATCAAACAATGAAAAATAAAATAAGTCTGGATTTTCATTATTTTATTCTCTTTCGAATTTGATTTTTTACCTGGACTGCTTATCTGTGCTTGAGAAAAATGGCATAAAAGTTTGTCGCTGTAAATCTTCTTCTGGATTTCTTAATCACCTCTACAAGTAGAAAACGTTTAGTTTTTGCTAAATGCTTTTTCTGCAAAATAGATAGGGATAATACGGATTGTGGACATAAGCATAGAACCACAAGTTAGGGAATCATATTTCAGCAGTCCTGGATATATTCTTATGTATTGACTTTCCAATTTTGCAAGTACCTGTATTTCTAGAAATGAAATACAATTGTGAATTCGTCTCCTTATTTCTGTAGTGTTTGGAGTTTCCTACAATGACAATGAATGTGGAAGTTGGTTCCGAACGCAAGAAAACTTTGTATCACCCTTTGGGCCAGGATATTTAGTCACCGGAAGGCAACCAATTCCAGACGGGTAGGTACAACACATTTTTTCTGTAAATGATTTCCCAAATGACAATCATGACATCGATAATAGAATTTAGAATTTTAAAGTTTGAAAAGTATATTTTTTTTCTTTTCAGAATGGGGGGTAATCTTGGTTTCGTCATCAGGGAATGCCTATATAGAAAAAGTCGCTACAAGTTAAACTATCAAAAAAATATCTACCATTTTTCAAAATAAATGTGCTTAAAATTTCTTTTCATATATATCATGTTTGAATAAGTTTCTAAACTTCAGCATTAATCCTCTGTTCTACAATGCAAGTAGACTTTATCAAACTCATTAAACTCAATAACTTTCTCTTATATAAATTTGTCTCTAACTTTCTTTGAGAAAGATAGCACCCCTCAATTGAAAGATCATCATCTTCTATCTCATTGGTTAGAATCACAAGGTGGTATGTCACATTCCTTTCCGGTAAAATGCAGATGTTCGCAAATACACCTGTAAATGAAAGTAAAAGTAGGGAAATTCATAATTTCAGGATAGGCACATATCAACCGATCTAATTTCTTTTCTTTCAAATATATCTCAAAACTGAAAATGGCTACTGCATTAATAAGGTGAACTTTTATATACCCTTGCCAGTTCAGGAACAAGATGTATTTCTTTTAAGTGCACTATTTTCTTCCCCTACTGATTCTAATTAGTGAACTGTACTTAGAAATCATGACCAATAGTACTTTACCCATGTACATTATTATTGTATTATTTTAAATGCTATTCGAGAATAAGGCTTCAATTGAGGCTGTCTTAAAAAAGAGATACCGTGTGTACAAACAACTCTTTAATAAAGTGCAATGGTGATTTTCTTTATTTTTGTTTGATGTAGATAACCAGACAAAAAACTATAAATGCTCAAAAAATCTGTTTCTTTGTTTGACCTCATGTCACAACTTTCTGCTATGCAATTTCGAAGGGTGCATGACAGATGATCGACGAAATCATGTTGTATTCACAACTTCTTTCTTTCTCTTCTTACGTTTCGCTGGAGTATGCATAATTTTTATGACTACAAGACCTCGTTAAGTCCTATCAATTGGTATAAATCACATGGGTGTTAAAATCCCTGTAACATCTTTGGTTTACACTAAATTTAACTAGGTAATATTCTACTTAATCAATACAAAAGACTCACGACGGGTGCAACCGGTCAATAGGTAATACTTGCCCCTCCTAGGCACCTGATCCCACCACTGGAATTGTTGGGTCCGTGTTATTGCCCTGTTTACAGAATTCTCAAAGTGGTTTTATGATTGTACGACCAGTATGTATTCTGTCCACTCCCTTCTTGATCCTGGTCAGTTCCGTTGGCAAAAATTAAAACAAAAACAAAAACAAACAAACAAATAAACAAAAACAAAAACAACAAGAGGCCCAAGGGCCTTAACGGTCACCTGAGTATAATACAACAATTTAGAGGATCCATAGAGTATAAAATGAACTGAAAGGTGAAGCTTTGTTGCCCAAAAGCAAGAAAAATAGAGTGATCAGGATCAAAAAAATAATTAGTCTAGCATTCATTCACAGTTCATAAATTAGGTTCTAATCTGTTCCTCATTTAACACTTTCACCATACAGTAAATTAACAAAATATCACTGCTTCTGTACCATCTTAATTCCTTGTTGAAATCTCTTACATTGGCCTCTCTTGATCTTTGATGAACATTTAATAAGACAAGTTATTTTTGTCTCATTTTTATTTATCTATTACTTACAAGTCTACCTGATCATTAAAACTATGAAAGTACTTTTTGTATTATACAATAACAATTCTTGCATAATTCTCTTATTCTATTAACCTTTCAAGTACATTATTTACAGTGATTAATTATCAAAAGTAAATGGCAAAGGGGAATAACTCCTCTTAGTAGATTACAAATTAATAGTGCCCTAGCTAGGACCAGAACACTTGACTAAATGGTCCAGCTGTTCAAATATCTGGTAAAAATACCCTTCCTTATTAAAACTTTTACTCTTTTTGCCTCTGATATGCCCGGGTGCAGAGAAGATTTTTAAAGAAATAATGCATTTTTACTACAGATTCACTATATTATCAATAGACCCCCCCCCTCCATGGAGAAACATCAGAGCCTCTCACCCTGGAACCAGAAGTTTGCACATCATAAGTAATCACTTTGTTTATCTGCTTAACACTGAGGAGCAGACAGGATTATTTAATAGAAATAATGCATTTTCACTATATTATCAAGAGCCCCACCCTTGCACCAGCACATCTGACCCTGGGGTCATGCAATTCACTACTCTGGAAGAAGCACTCTTGCTCATCATAACTATACACTAGCTTCTTTGCTTTTTAACCAGAAGCAGAAAAGAATGTTTTCAGAAAAAAATTGCTTTTTCACTATATAATCAATAGAACCCCCCCCCCTTTTCACCAGAACCCTTGACCCTGGGGCCATGAAATTCACAACTTTGGAAGAGGCATCCTTGCATATCATAATAATGTACTTAGTTTGTTTAAATAATACCCAGGGGCAGAGAAGAAGAGTTTTAAAGAAATAATTCACCTTCACTATAGGATCTATATGGCCCCACCCTAGCACCAGAACCCCTGTCCCTGGGGCCATGAATTTCACAATTTTGGAAGAGGCATCCTTGCTTATCATAACAATGTACTTAATTTGTTTAAATAATACCAAGGAGCAGAGAAGAAGATTTTTAAAGCATTAATGCATTTTCACTATATAATAAATAAAGCCCCACCCTAACACCAGAACCCCTGATCCAGGGGCCATGAAATTCACAATTTTGGAAGAGTCACTCTTGCTTATCATAACTATGTATTTCATTTGTTTCAATAATACCCAGGAGTAGAGAAGAAAATTTTCAAAGAAATAATGCACTTTCACTATATGATCTATATAGCCCCGCCCTAGCACAAGAACCCCTGACCCTGGGGCCATGAATTTCACAATTTTGGTAGAGTCACTCTTGCTTATCATAACTATGTATTCAATTTGTTTCAATAATACCCAGGAGCTGAGAAGAAGATTTTCAAAGAAATAATGCACTTTCACTATATGATCTATATAGCCCCGCCCTAGCACAAGAACCCCTGACCCTGGGGCCATGAATTTCACAATTTTGGTAGAGTCACTCTTGCTTATCATAACTATGTATTCAATTTGTTTCAATAATACCCAGGAGTAGAGAAGAAGATTTTCAAAGAAATAATGCACTTTCACTATATGATCTATATAGCCCCGCCCTAGCACCAGAACCCCTGACCCCGGGGCCATGAATTTCACAATTTAGGTAGAGGGCTCAATGCTTATTACAATCATGTCTACAGTTTGACTGCTTGATGTCCAGGAGTAAAGAAGAAGATTTTTAAAGATTGCATTAATTTTGGTGGTTTTAGCCCCACCCCTCAGGCCCCAGGGGGGCAGGGACCATGAAATTCACAATTTTTTTCCCCCTTTACCCACAGATGCTATGTGCCAAAATTGGTTGAAATTGGTTGAGCGGTTTCAGAGAAGAAGCTGAAAATGTTTAAATGTTAACGCACGACGCACGACGGACGACGGACGACGCACGACGACGGACAAAAACGGATAGCAATAGGTCACCTGAGTGACTCAGGTGACCTAAAAAACCAAGATGTGTTTTTTAAACACTGATGCCCCCGTATGGCAACTTATAGCAAAGGTTAAACTTTCTCAAATGCAAATCAAATATGTTGGTACCCAAAGTAAGGTCTTGTCCAGAGGAATATACCTGTGAAATATGAGAGTCCTGGCAGCAACCATTGAAAACATATGGAAAAAGTTAAGGTTTTTCAAAAGTAAGTCAAACATCAAGGTCAAGGTCAAATGGTCAAAATTAATGGTGCCCAAGGAAAGGCCTTCTCACAAGAAATACACATGTAAAATATGAAATCTATGTAATGGAATGTTATGTTATGGAATGAATTACCTGTATATATAAAAAATGTCTCCAACACTCAATGCTTTCAAGCACCAAATTAAAAAAATATGTAAAACAATGTCCAAATAACTCATGACTATAACCTAATATGTGTATTTGTATATGTATGTATATTGAATTTTGTCTGCAGAAGGCTCCGGGGAAGAATAATACTTGTACTAATCGGGTAACCTTCTTTTTAAATAAAGTATTCTTCTTATTATTATTATTATTATAAAGCCCTAGCATCAATCCTTCCAAAGATATAGCCAAGGTTAAAGTTTTCAAAAGTAGGTCAAAGTCCAAGGTCAAAGGGTCAGAATTGTTGATATCCAAAAGAGTGTCTTGTCACAAGTAATATACATGTGAAGTATGAAAGCCCTAGCACCAACCATTCAAAAGTTATGACCAAGGTTAAAGTTTTTCAAAAGTAGGTCAAACTCCAAGGTCAAGATCAAAGGGTCAAAGTTGTTGATATCTAATAGGAAGATCTTGTCCCAAGGATTACACATGTGAAGTATGAAAGCGTTAGCTCCAACTGTTCAAAAGTAATGGCCAAGGTTAAAATTTTTCAAAAGTAGGTCAAACTCCAAGGTCAAGATCAAAGGTTCAAACTTGTTGGTATCCGAAGGAAGGTCTTGTCACAAGAATTACACAAGTGAAGTATGAAAGGCCTAGCACCAAGTGTTCAAAATTATGGTCAAGGTTAAAGTTGGGTCAAATTTTGTAAAACTGGATCAATCTCCAAGGTCAAGGACAAAAGGTCAAATATGATGGTACTCAAAGAAAGGCTTTGTCACAAGGAATACACATGTGAAATATGGAAGTTATAGCTCCAACTAATCAAAAGTTATGAGCAATGTTAACGTTTTTGCGGACAACAGATAAACAGACAGACGGACGGACGGACAGGGCAAAAACTATATACCACCGAATCTTCAATACGGAAACATAAAAAATAATAGAGCGAAATTTGATGTATTTTTTTCTTGTACTCGAAAAATTGGCCACATTCATTATCATTGTCAGAAGATCCAAATATTTTAAGCAGAAGATAAATAGATGCATTTCCTTCTCCTACTCGTGATTTTATTTCCTATAATATTAAAGCAATTTGTATTTTTTTTTCTTTTAAAAGAATTCTTGCTAGAAGAATTTTTCCTCAAAGAGTTTAGTAAAATTAATAATTGAGTTTAAGGATATTCGATCTTCAGCCAGGAAGGATAACTCTTAAATATATTATTTTATTTAAAAAGTCTCATAATG